TGCTGCTCCCGAGGCTGCCGGCGCCCGCTGCAGCTCCCACACGCCCAGCGGCACGGCCGCAGCTGCAAACAGCTTCTCCCAGCGCATCCTCCAGTCCTGAACACGGGAGATCCACAGTCTGGAGCAAAACTTCCGACGCCGGCAGAAGGGAGCCACCGCTGCTGAGCCTGAGAAAGCACAGTAGCCTGAAAACAACTTCAAGTTGTAACTCCATTTCATGGAACGGCAGGGAAATGGGGAAGAAGAAGAATTCTTGAGTTTTCTTTGAGTTGTTTTAGTCTGTTTAACAGGAGCTCCTGAAAAGTGTTGTAGAAGCTGCGAAAACTGCTTATGCTATAAATATCAGGCAGGAGGCAGCCCCAGAATCTCAGATTTCAATCCAATGGAAGGGAAGCAAGTGATGTTTATGCTTTTTATGGAAACAGTGAGTAGGTGACACAGACACTTCAAAATAAATTAAGTAGTTGCATAAAAAAATTAAAAAGAAAAATCAAGCTACTAAAATTAAATGTGCCATTTTGCAACAGACCCGAAAGTCATACCTCTGTTTTTATATAACCAAGAGCTCTAATCTACTAACAGCTTATGGCGTAGAGTCAGGTAACTTCAGGTGTTGTTTGCTGTCAGCACGACACATCTCGCACGTAGAGGAGTCACTCCCAACCACGGAGGGCACTCAAGTACAGCCTCTTGGCTATGAACTTCACGCCGTTTTCCTCCTCTGGCTTTTGGTACACAGATTGGTTACGTGCAGCAAAGGATCCTCTCGAGCTCGGAAGGGGGGTTGAAAATGTCTCTTAAGTTCTTGCAGGGATAGTTAGTGCTCTGAAACAGATTCTCTCCTCAAAGGAGAGATCCTGCTCCCTTCTCCTTTAACACGTGTAGCTAGATGTCTGAAGGGAGATCTGTTGCTAGCATGCAGGAAGACTGGAAGTAATCCATCTTTTGAGGGTAGGTGACTTAAGTCACTGTCCCAACTGCAAGGTTTTGGATTAATTTCTCATTCCTCCCACATGGTATCTGCTGACTTGTGCTAGAATATCATTTCCTGAATTCCGGAGGGCTGAAGAAATTTGTAGTTGTTATTTAATGGTATTCATTACTGTAGCCACCAAGCTCTGATCTAATTGTCCTGGAAAGATAATGACCTAAGGGTTGCAGTTCTTGAGCCCAACCTCCTGGAAAAGTGAGGTATAAAATTCTGGCTCCAGCTGCCTGTTCCGGTATTTATTGACAATGTCTGCTATTTTCTGTTTTCGGCGGACATGGGGGGGGTTGTATGAATCACTTTCCAGCCTCTTTCTCCGACAAATATTTATTACCGTCTGCCTCACTAAGAAACCTGAAAAAGAAACAACATTTGAATCAAGTTTAAACCAATTCAAGTCTGGCTGGCTTCACAGCTAAAGAATGTTGGGTTCTGTTCCATCTAGAACCCCAGGGGAGATGCTCAGCAACGCCATGTCAAGAACTTTTCCCAGTGAGTAGCTGGTACAGATAACCACGGTCCCCAGGCCTGTGAGGACGTTTTACTGTGAAAAATGAGTAAGAAAGGGACTAAGCCAGTGGTGCCCTAAATGGGCTGGAGGAGGATGATGTCATCTCTGCTTTGCCAGAGCTAAGGAACTTTAATGCCTTTAACGAAGTAGGTGTGTGCTGACTTCTCTGCTGTTTCACAAGCACTTACAGGCAGAAACAGTGTCTTCCGTAGAGGACTTGATTCCTGACTGCACACAGGTCACATCTGCTGAACTCGGAGACAAGACTAATTTCATTATATTAACAGTCCTGATGCAGCTGAAAAACCACCCCAACTCTAGGAAAACACATCTGATTCTTTTTCAGTGGAAGTCAGTGCCATCAGCTGACTTCACAAGTGTTATTTAAAGGCCCAGTCTGGCTTCAGTGCTCCCACCACTGAATTACGCACGCAAAACCCAGAACCTGAAAGCCACCCCCAGGCAAAGCCTACAACATCAGTTTTATGGTTATGTACAAGTACCCTGTTGTTCACTTACTCATTGTGTTCTGTCTTGTGAATTACTCTCACTGGGGTAAGAAGTTACTGAAGCTATAGTATAGCTATAGTAGACAGATCCATTAATCCATCCAGGCACACAGGAAAAGGCTGAGAGCACACACTGTTAACAGTTTCTGCTAACACATGTCTGCATAGTAGGTGAAGTATTTTTATTGAACCCATTAAAAAATCCCCAGTTGCTGTGGCTTTTAACTGCCACCCGGCTTCTAAAGCAGAAGGAACACACGCAGCATGCCAGCACAGCCCAAACCCGCCACAGTACCTTCTGGCTGTCACCCAGCATCAGCACCTTGCTCTCACTGCTAAACGAGGGTTGTGTTTCTGATCCCTCTTAGCTCAACAGCAAGCAGTCACCTTCTCCCTGCACCACTACAAGCCCCGACCTTTCACGTCTCCTACGGCAGCGGCAGTGGGCTCCCAGCCGTGCTGTCGGCTCGGTGCTGGCCGCCTGCTCCCTCTGCTGTTCCTGCTACCGGCTGTTGCTGCGGAAAGCTAGGGTTTATTTTGTGCTGCCAGGCTTTCCAGTGGAATGCACCAGCCCACGCCTTTCGAAGGTACTTTATTATTTAAGAAAAAATAAAAAAGACAACAAAAAACCCAAAGCCATGAGTGTTCCTAAAACTTTTGCTTACCAAGAGCTCTCCTACTGACTATCATCCCATCCACCAGCGGGATAACCATATTGAACTTCCCAGTTGCTCCTTGTAGTTTTATCCTGAATAAGCCAGTGTTTAAAGGATGGATGAAGATCACAGGGACTTCCTTCTCAGGAATGGTAGATCTTCAGTGAAAAAACCACAACTGTTAGATCAGTTTTATAGCACTGTTTCAATTCATCTTTAGATTAAAAAAGACCACTTTAAGTGTTAAAAGAATGTTAAAAGATGTCTTGTGGGTAAACCAGCAGGACTGGTGCACCCTCTGGCCTTTAGAAGGGTTATCTCAACTGTACTGTTTCTGTGACCTTCTGTCACCACAGAATTTGAGCCCTGCAGACACGGCTTTAAGCTCACAACATGTCTGCAGCATTAGCGACTCCCAAGGGAACAGATCCAGAGGGAGGCTAAGCACGGACACAAGAGTAAAAAAAAATACACATTTTCTGTTCCTTAATTTATGTTTAAACTGCAGTGACATGAGAAATCTTTAACTTTTCCCACAAAAAAAACCCAAATCCACTGAGGAAACTCATCTGTCTTTAACATGACTGCGTAGAGTTTTCAGCGTCACCTTGACAGCTGAGCCATGTCATGATTTCTAAAGTGCAGCCCAAGCTGTTGTCTGCAACAGTCAAGAAAAATGATGAAGAGCAGCCTTACCTTAGGGAAGTGCTACTATTGGCTGTAGTCTCCACACCAGTGCTAGTCTCAGACAACAGATCAGGGAGGGGAAAGTTTTCTGTAAGAAGAGGATGCACTGAATAAAGTTTATCTGCCTCAGCTTTTGCTAAGTTTCTGGTTTGTTTTTGTAGACAGAAAAGTTACTTATCAGTCAAAACCATGCTGCCCTCAAACATTTATACCATGGATGTTCTTGCACTGCTAGTGATGCAAAGGCTTTGTTTTTAAGCTTAAGCATTCATGTAGTGTAGACACACCTCAGCCAACAGCTTAGGTAACACATGTCCCAGTCCCTCAGTTCTCTCAATCCCAAAGGTCAAAACCTCTAGAGGAACAGTGAAAGCAGATGGAGGTGAAGTGCTCCAGGCACGGAAAGAGCTTTCAAATTATTCACGAGCATCTTCGCCTATCCACAGCCTCAAAGAACTGTGCTGGCAATTTCTAACAATACCACGGCTCACATCTGCAGTTCTCTTGAGCCCTGCTCCAACAAACATGGTATCTTTCCTCAAATCCAGATTCCATAGGTCCTCACCACAACCTACAACTCTGCTGCCCTGCACCTGGTAACAAGTGACCGGATAATGAAGGTGCAGGAGGAGGAAAATCTCCAATCCCTGGAAGGGGATGTGGCACTTCCCATTAACTTGTTTAGGGGCAGGAACTCAGAAAGATGTTCAGTCACTCACTAAAGTGCAGTTCAGACAGCAGGACAGTGTCAACACCTCCTCCATCAGAAAAGGTATAAGGCCCGAAGACACTTTTTGCCATCCCAGCTGGGATGCTAAGAGTACACAAAAGCTGGAGATAGAGGGAGAGCACAGAGGGCCATGGAAGGATGGAGCAAGAGGGAGGGCAGGCAGTTGGCACAGGGGTGGATGCTAAGAGTACACAAAAGCTGGAGATAGCAGAGGGAGAGCACGGAGGGCCATGGAAGGATGGAGCAAGAGGGAGGGCAGGCAGTTGGCACAGGGGTGATAGCCCAGACTACAAAGTGGCAGCTTTTCCACTGCCCAGATGCAAAGACGTACCAGAAACATAAGGCAAAGCTAAGGACATAAGGAGCGTAAGGCAAAGCTGCTGCACTAGGAGCCCCTTTAAAGAGCCTCCCCTGACCCATCCAACTGCCACGCTTACTGAGGCTCACAAACTCATTTCTTCAGCTTCAGGCCCAGAGCTTCGAGAGATTCCTAGGGCAGCTGAAAGAAGCAGCCAAGCAGAAACACGCGTGTGCAGCACAGTGGCTGCCTCTGCAGCGAGCTGGCTTTAGCTGCCACCCATGAAAGAAATGGGTCAGGGACACCAGTTCGGGAACTGAAGCGGCTGAGGGACTTCTGGAGCTGAGGGAACACGCTCTGGGCAAATGTCTGGATAAGGAAGTGATGCTGCACAACCTGACCCCAGTAAAATGAATGGAAAGAGAAATTATGCTGCCTCCTGGTTCCACTAAAGCTCTGAGGGATGTGCTGAGGCCAAGGTGGTCTTCTTGAGAATCTGCACCTACATTTCACAGAAAGCTGCTTCTTATCACTCCCATTCTCTCAGTTACTTTTCTCTGGGAGGAGCTAATGGCTTAATTAAGGTCCACCCTTACCGCTAGACTGGGAACTAGGATTGGAAAAGACAGAATCAAGTATTGTTTACCGGCCCAGATTACGGACTGCTGGCCTGCAGGGTGGCTCTTGCATAGCACTAAAGCCAGGTCATGGCATAGGACGAGCACACAAGAAGCCCTTGGGGACAAAGGGCTCCTCAGGCCTAGCAGCCAGCTGCCCACCATCGCCCACACCATGGCTGTAACAGGATGGGCAAAGATGGATCTCTCCCAGGTCAGCCAGTGCCCAAAGGGAGAGGAAACGCCAAACTAACAATCGAAGCTGCACAAGGAGCAGGACCCGTCCTGAACAAAGGCACAAAAAGGAAGCTGGGCTGCATAGCAAGAAATGGGCAACCCCAGCACAGAATAAACGAGCCCTCACACAAGACAGCGCAACAGGAAGTTTCAAAGGTACCATCAAACCAAGAAGGACGAGTATTCCTTCAGCACAGAAGCAACAGGTGTTGTCTTTTAAAGGAAGAACAACAGATGCACTCTGTGGAGACAGCAGCTGATGGGAACCCAAGACCAGGGGTGCACACTTGCTTCGTGTGCAAGCTTAAGAAGGTGGTGCATGATGGCATTTCACATATACTGCCCAAGCTAAGATAAATCTCCAGACCTACATGCAACTGATTCATGTACCACCCATATCAAGGAACTAGTTTAGAATTTTAAGTGTCTCTGACAGACATTAATAAGAATTTAGCATTTTAGAGAGGAACAGAACAGGGTTTTTCCTCTGGTTCCTATCCTCTTGTTACTTTAGTAAACAATAAAAACTTCTACACACCTATATCGTCATAACGTTCCACCCAGACCACATACACTTTGGTTTCAGGTCCCATTGGTGGAATGGTCCGGCCCTGAAGCACCCTCTTGGATCTGGAAGTAGGACTGAGCTGTTTGGAACACAAGGGAAGAGAAGCATTTGCAAACATCATGAACCCAGTAATGCATCCAACAAGCATTTTCACAGTTACTCCTTCGCCTCTCAGGTCTCAGATAGGTCCAACCTCTGCCAGCTACTGAGATGGGGCAGCTGGGGGGAACTAACCACTGAGAAACAGTAATGTGGATCTTCACAATACCTATATTCAACATAAATTAATATATTCAATATTTTAAAACTCGTTCAAGTTTTTCTTAATGTTCTTGAAGATCTTAAATCCATAACTAAATTGTCGTGGTTTAACTCCGGCTAGCAAAATACAACGACATAAATATACACGTGGAAGTGAGTTCTATACAAGAGATAAGCAGTTGTAAAACCTTTGCCAACTATTACAGCAGTTCACGGTTTTCTGCTGTTACCATACAAAAGCAACTTCACATCTAATATTTCAGACAAAACTGACACATACAACGTTAAACTGGGTAGGTATGAAAAGTGTTCATGTTTATCCATCCTAAATTTCCAACCATGGATTGGAGTCTGAATTACTCTGCAAATACTGCATATACTTTTTCCCACGTGAATTTCAAGATTTCAGTATGCAGAGTATTACTACTTGGCATGTTTAAATTGCGTATTTAAAGTAATCTTGCAATCTCCTACTGCAGGTGCAAATTCTGGCAGGACCAAAGCAGATGTTAACAATTAATGGCTATGAATGAGTAGCTCCAAACGCTGGGAAACTAAGTCATATAGTATCAAAAAATGCAGTAAGCATTCAGTGTGCTTGGGGGGAGGGAAGGGAAGGAGGGGAAAAAAAAAAAAAAAAAAGCCATTTTTCAATGCACATTTTGCCTTACCCTCTGGGAGGGATTAAGATTGTCTGTATGATTGGGGAAGAGTTCAAGTGTCAGAGACGGCTGCTTCAATATTCCTGGCAGCAGATCCATGTTGGAGTCGCCTTCTTGGTCAGAAACATTGCTTTCCAGCGAATCAACTGTAAGCCAGAAGAAAGGTGGGTTTTGTTTTGTCTTCTGCCAAAAAACTTATGCTGTCACCATATGTAAGGTTTTGAAACTAGAAAAGGTTGTAAGGTTTTTCAAACTAAACATACACAGATTTACAGTCAACATAGCAGTCAAAAGCAGGAAGAGGATTCAGCAGTAGAGAGTTGCCAGTTATTCCAGAAACAGACTGCAATTAAAGCATTCCCTGTGGATTTAGAAGTGTCCTGTCCATTTCCCATGGAACACAGTCCCCGCCTTCCTATGGCTATCATTTTGTCACAGCCCTTTTATTCCAGGAAACTTTTGCACAATGGTTTTAGTGTGCAGAACATGTCATGGAAGCTGTTGCTCACCTACACAGCAGCTGTGCACACGCTCCTCCATCTGCTGCAGGAGCATGTCACTGAGACAGGAGAGAACAAAGCATCACCAGTTGATGGCGAACCATACGTCCAACCTAATGCACCCAGGGTAACAGCAACGCTGCTGTGCAAACCTGGAGGCTTAGGCTGAGAAAAAAGGGACACAGAACAGACACCACCTCAGGCAGAAGCCTAAGGATTAGGCTATTGTAATTTAAACATCAGTAGTTTTTTGACAAGGATCTTGCTGGTGAGATACACTGCTAGATTTATTTAGATTCTGCTTCTGAAACAGCTCTCTAACAAGAAAATAATGTAGCCTTGTACATGCTATCTACAAAACCCAAAGTGATCTTACTTAGGGACTCCACTGGTGATGGGACAACAAAAGCTATTTCTGTCAGGGCATCCGCGTAATACAGCACCTTCTTCTGCCCATTGAAGATACTTGCCCCAACGTCTTCCGAAATAATCAGATCATCTGAAACAGACATAAGAGAAAAGTTTAGTCAAAAGGAAGTCTCCTGAGGCTGTGTATAAAGACGCAGACGATCTTCATATACAAGGTTGTATATGTTGGAGCCCTCAACATCAGAAGGATATAGACCGGTTGGAGCGAGTCCAGAGGAGGCCACGAAGATGCTCAGAGCGCTGGAGCCCCTCTGCTATGATGAAAGGCTGAGAGAATTGGGCTTGTTCAGCCTGGAGAAGAGAAGGCTCCGGGGAGACCTTATTGCATCCTTCCAGTACCTGAAGGAGCCAACAAGGAAGCTGGGGGGGACTTTTTACAAGGGTCTGTAGTGACAGGACAAGGGGTAACGGGTTTAAATTGAAAGCAGGGAGGTTTAGATTAGATACAGGAAGAAATTCTTCCTGGAGAGGGTGCTGAGGCACTGGGACAGGTTGCCCAGAGAGAGAAGCTGTGGATGCCCCATCCTTGGAAGTGTCCAAGGCCAGGCTGGATGAGGCTTGGAGCAACCTGGTCTAGTGGAAGGTGTCCCTGCCCATGGCAGGGGGGGTGGAACTGGATGAACTTTAAGGTCCCTTCCAACCCAAACCATTCTGTGATTCTGTAAAGGTGTAATCAATGAGAAGAAACCACACAAATCTTATTTTAAAATATTTCACGGTCAAATCTCATGGCTAACAACAATCCTCAGATAAACTTTTTTTGTTATCTTGAAGGAAATGACATTTTGGGTTGTGAGAGGATTTATTTAAACATATTTCCATTGTACGCCACAGCTTATTTCATTTGGATTGAGTAGTCTAGTGGGCACGTCTGCCACAAGAATTCATCTTGTAGCTATTTCTGACCTAACAGACATCATTTGGTTAGTCATTAAATGTCCATAGGATTCTAACATAACTTCAGTCTGATGCTATTCTATTCTAGAATCCAAGCCAGTTCTCTACAGACTCTCCTCAAGATCTTTTATTCTGCCAAGGAGAGTTAGAAAAAGGCTCTCTTGAATTAAACCTGATGCAAGCTCATTCTCAGCCCCATTTATCTCCTCACCACAGCTGGGCAGTATGTCAGGCCTTCACAGTACAGACAGAACAATCCTTTGGTGGAGCTATGCTGTAAGTAAATGACACACCTCCCTCCCTGCCCCACTTTCCCTTCCCTATTCCACCTCCAGAAAGGCTAGCAAGAACTTTAAGTCAAATTAGTTCTCGGATCCAGAAAGGTTCCTGGGACAGCTAAAGGAGCAGTGAAATTCAGCACACTGACAGGGAGGTGGCCAGAGGCATGCAGGACCCTCCAAACTCTGCATCATCAGAGAAACATTCCTGCCTCTCCAGTCCATAGCTCTCAAGGGAGAAGCACCACAGCCTGAACCCAGTTTAAGAACTTCTTTGGTTCTGTGGGTGTGCAGGGAAACCAAACCAAAGCATATGCCTGTGAATTCATTTTAAATCGCATCTCACTGGAAACTATTCTAGAATCAGAATCATTTAGGTTGGAAAAGACCTTTAAGGTCATGAAGTCCAACCGTTAACCCAGGACTGCCAAGTCCACCACCAAACCATGTCACTCAGTGCCACATCACACTTTTTTTACATTCCTCCAGGGACGGTGATTCCACCACCTCCCTGGGCAGCTGTTCCAGTGCTTGACAACCCTTTGGGGAAGAAATTTTCCCTAATATCCAATCTAAACCTCCCCTGGCACAACTTTAGACCATTTCCTCCTGTCCTGTCACTTGGGAGAAGAGACCAACCCCCACCTCCCTGCACCCTCCTTTTAGGAGGTTGTAGAGGGCGACAAGGCCTCCCCTGAGCCTCCTCTTCTCCAGGCTGAACACCCCCAGCTCCCTCAGCCCCTCCTCACAGCACTTGTGCTCCAGACCCTTCCCCAGCTCCATTCCCTTCTCCAGACACACTCCAGCACCTCAGTATCTGTCTTGTCTGATGGGCCCAGAACTGACCCCAGGATTCAAGGTGCGTCCTCACAAGTGCCCAGTTCAGGGGGACAATCCCTGCCCTGGTCCTGCTGCCCACACTGTTCCTGATGCCGGCCAGGATGACAGACTCCTGAATAGGTTTTTAATCAGAGCCATCCACAAAGAGAAAATACATTTTACAAAATAAATTGCTTTTGTCACAGCAAAGATTGAAGGAGAAAACACGGCAAGCAGTCTTCACAAGTTTGTCCAAGTCTACTTTAAATCTACTATTTCAGTTTTTTAGCCACTGCTTGCTAAAGGTACAACTCCATTCATGGATTTTTTCAGCAGCAGAACCAGATTAGAAGTTGCCCCTCTTCCCATCCCTGAATGCTTTTTCTGTTCCTTCTTCCCCCAACTTGTTCAATTAATTCAACTATTGATGGTCTGTGATTTAATCCAAATGATTGGAAAAAAACCAAAACCAAAACCAACAGGTTAAAAAGCCCACATCAAAGCAGGTTACCTCACTAATCGAGGACACCACCTTCTGCACAGTTGTACTGACAACACCAACCACAAAGGGAAGGGAGAGGGCTCTGCCTTGGAGCGAAGACCAGGCTGACCCTGTCCTCAAAGGAAAATTAAGCCAAGATCTGGCCATTCTGTAACCTCTCCTGACCGGTTCAGAGAAAGCCATGCCTCTGTTCTCTTAATCCCTCCCCAGCACTTCAGGCCTGCTATCATTTGTGGTTTTGTTCTACAAATGCATAGGGAAGCCTTCAGGTATGTGCAGTTAGAGGTGAAGAGCGTTTCCAGGGCAGCGTGAAGGGGAAGCAGAGCAAGAGCACTGCTCAGGCAACTGCAGCAGTAACGGTGTCACGCCTGGTGCAAATGCCAGCTCCAGGACCTTGAACGAGATGGACCAGCCTGTTCAATGCCCTTGTGCGGCCCTCAGCAGAAAGCCGAGGCTCTGAAGCTCACAAGGAAGAGGTCTGGCCCTTGGAGTAGTGACCATGAAACTGACCCAGACACTAAGAGAATCCTAAGTAATTTGATTAAGTTGTTCAAGGCAAACGCTAGCCCAACCTCCAGTTCACCACCCTGGGATAGCAATTCACTACTTTATTTTGGTTGACAGAATGGGGAAAGGGTGGTATATGACAAGCCCAAAGGAGCAGTTGCTCTAGGGGAAGAAAGCAGAGTAAATTAAGCAGGACAGAAGAGCTGTGTGTGGGCTCCAACCACTGTGACCTACAAACAGCAGCTTGTTCTCACTACTTCCTACCAAGCGCCATTACAAGGCTCACTTATGAGTCAACATCTCGTTTTAATCTCCTCATAGAACACTAAAAATCTCACAGTATTTCAAGCATTTCTATTTGCCAATACGCAGCACAATCTGTATCCTATTTCACCTGAATACTAGTTTTGGATAATATATTAAGACTCATCTAGTCTGCTAAAAATGTAGCAGAGATACTTCTTGCTGAGGCTACTGCCAACAACATACAGACACCAGTTTTGCTTGCTTTGACTTGAAGCTTAACCTAATATATACACATTCCTTTCCAGTAAACATTGACATTTATCTGAAAAAAATACGCAAATGCTCAGATAGGTACGCAGGAGCAATGCATTTTAAGTTAACTGTCTCCTAAAGGAGCCTAAACATTTTAGTATAATATTACACCAGGTACTATGTCCTACCTTGTTCAGGCCCCTCTTCATCACTGCAGCTATTGATTGACCAGCTTGTTGAGACATGTCCAGTCCACCCAGGGTGCTTCCCCACATCAACGGACCAGCCAAGAGACAGCAAGAACTCCAGGAAGTGTGGCTGAACAATTTTGGAAGACTCCATGTTCTTCAGGATCTGAAACAGCCAGCAGCACTCTGGTAAGTACAGGAGACCCCAGGAGCAGCTCTTCTTCCTCCCCACTTTTTTTAAATTAAAACTGTGTGTCACCAACATGGTTTTGCCCCAGTGCAGCTATTCAGCAAGCATGGGACCCCAGGCTTCCTACACGGACACCACTCCTTGCTGCCCAGCATCCTCCCATCCTGCTTGGCAATGTCCTATTTCATCCACATGGCTTTCTGCCATCACTGCCAAAGCCTGTAAAATAGTTCAAACTGCTAAGAATGGCAGTTTTGAGATTTATCCTCTCATCAGGGATAAAGCCCAGAACTGTTCAGCGCAGAATCTACATTAGCCCTATATGTAACATGAGAATTTTCTGGACAATTTTCACTACTAAACTGAGGTCAAATTTTAGGAGACTGAATCCTACTCACCTGTACATGACAGAGGTTTAAAAGGCAGACCTCACCACACATTAAATTATGAAACGGGTTTTACGAAACTGAAATATTACTATTATCCTCATTAGTGAGCACGCTGAAGTCACAGCTATGCTTCAGAATGAACTGAAGTGCAACTTAGAAAACAGGCAAGCTCAGGTCTCGTACAGCTGTAACGTTTTGTAGCCGAGTCCATTCAAAAACGAATTTACCATAAAGCAAGTACAAGGGGGCATTTTCAAAAGGCAATCAGTGATGTGAAGTATAATGATGTAAAAAGTGTGCAGCCCGTTTCATTAGACTGCATAAATAGATGCCATGAGACCCTTCTCAACTGTAAAAGCCTGCCACAACAGAAAAATACTTGGGTCCAACGTAATAACCAGCAGGCTAGATGTCACTATTCTGGGCTGTGCAGCACCAAACACAGCTGACCCCATTCCTTGTCATCGGACAGAGGGTCACCTCTCAGACCAGAATGAGGTCCTGAGCTGAAATGGCATGAACTCACAGAGAGATGGCTAAGTAAGACCAGGCAGCCAGCCCTGCTCAAAGCAGAAACCGTGTCACAACTTGGCTGTGATCACCTCCTCTCCCCACTGTCACTCTCCTCACTGTTAGAGACCAGCATGTTATTAACTTGACTGCCACTGCAACTTTGCACAGCCTGAAGGCTTAGGAATCACAGCAAGATGTCCAGCAATCTTAAAGGAGTGGCATATTTATACTGTGTTAGATATGTCCAAAATCTCCCAAACACAAGATTTTCTTAAATCTACACAGCAAAGCCCATGCTAATTGTGTTTCTAAAGCCCAGCACATTCTACAGGACTAAGTAATCTCATCTGTCCAAATCCATAAGAGGATATAAGCATCAGATGGGAAAAAAGCATTCTGCTAGCTCAGCAAGTGCACATTTCAGCTGGAAGGCAAAACCATCTATATCTTGTTTTGTAGCTGACTCTGGAGATAGAAAGACTGTGTACTAGCCAGTCTGAACTTCAACTTGAAAACTCAAATAGCACAGTCCTGCTTTCAAGAAATAAGAGTATTCCACACAGAAGAAGGTGCTACAGCATTGTCAACTGTACACAATCACATGAGGAGATGCCACAATGAGAAACCACGCTTCTACTCTTCACTAGGAGAATTATGAATGGAATGAGGAGAGAGTACTGCAGAATGAACCTTTTCCAATGAGCCCATAAACAGCCTTACTGAGTTTTTAGGTCACAGTCTAAAGAAGTCACAATTCAGATTCGCACAAAATAACCTGATTGACCTAATTGCATTTGAATGTAAACAGTATAATGTAAAGACTTACAAAGCAATAATACTGTCTTACTTGCAGAAAGTCTTCCATTCCTTTAGCACGTGTTTAACATTAGAATCTAACCAAACTACCTGGACATTGCATACTGCTGGAACAAACTGCAACCTTCCCTGCAAGCTGAGCCAACAAATCTGAAATGCATTTCTGAATATGAATTTTTGAACTCTACAAATAAAGGACAATAAGGACAGAACAAATAACAAAAGTACTATTAATAAGTATTTAACACATATTTATATATGTTAAGAAATAAAAAGATGTTACAACATTCCTAGATGTGGATAATGTACTTCAACCTACAGATGAAATGAGTACACAGTGACTTGTTATAGCTCACGCCGTAAATCAGCAAGGTCCAGAACCCCAGTCCTGCTACTCCCCTCAAGTCACTAGCAGTGATGCTTTATTCACTTGAGATTACTAGAAACCAGACAATATAGGCTAGTTGGCACTCTACACCTTCACTCACCTCCTGGCTTGTTTTCTGGCCTGCCTTCATGTAGAATATGAAAACAGTATCAAAAGGTCGACAGGGTAGTAAATCCAAGTAGCCAAGGTCATCAAAGAACCCAGGAAGAGCAGAGTCAAGTGCAATCAGGTGAGGAGGTAGACGACTGTTAGCAGGTTCCTATCCAATAAATAGAGTTCAACAGCTTAAAAAAACCCAATCTGTCCTAACTGAAAAGGTCTTTATGGCTTCAGTAATAACCCTATAAAATTAAGACAACTTTCCTTTTCTCCTAAGAGCAAAATCATACACACGTTTTGGATGCAATATAATCCTGTTACTGTTAATGAGTAACAGCAAGCATAACGTTTTGACAATTTATTACATTCTACTCATTAAATGAAAACAGTATTTTGCCAGCAAAACAGACACAGCATTTTGCTCAGAGTGCTAGCTATCACAACAAAAGCAGCAGACACTTTCAAATATCTCACCTATACACAGTCACACGTGTAGTTTTTTATTTATTAACTTATATACCAATAGTAAGTACTAAGCACTTTTAGACATCATTTTTGCAAAAGCTCCATTGTCTACTTTTGATGGTTTTCTAGAAGGAAATGCAACAAAAAGGAGAACCCACAGGTAATAGTCAGAACTTCAGATTAAGAATATGGATCACCTCGGTTTATAAGCTGTTCTTTTAACTTTAAAAAGAAAGCTCTACAACCTATATGTACTCCCAGGTGTTTACATATGATTAAGCCACTTTAGCACAATCATGTCTGGAGCAGAACTTCTAAAGCAGTGACATTTCAGGAGCTCTTAAAAGTACCATCACCCAAAAACCTAATTCAAGCCGAGGGAATGATTTCAAGTAAGAACACGTGAACGGGATAGCTTATGAACCTACTGCGAAACTAAAGATGCAGCCAACCTATTCAGAGCATGTTCAGTTGAGGCATGGCCTCTCTCAACCCTGGAAGACTGGAATCCATCACTTCATTTGATTAGACTACAGCTGAACAGCAGTTGGAATTACAGAGATGATCTTCCACTAACGAAACTTAGTTGTCATCTTTTACCAAGCCAGACCATATGGGTATTGAGGGCATTTGCACAGGACTAAGAAGTATCAGGTCACCTTGAGTGCCTCTAGTGAGAGAAACCCGAAGTGAGAGAGGAACAGGCGTGCTGTCTGGAACTCCTGTGCCGGTGGTGGGGGCTTACACTCCGTGATCGGATCAGGAAAGCTCTTCTTCCGCCACTCCTCTTCACTCTTCTGATCTATGGAAGTCTCAAAAATAATCTGCTGGGCCATGCCATTCCTCAGCTTCTCGTGTCGCTCTTCAAGCTGAAAAACATTGCATGAAGTGATCTTGGTGGAATCAGCATTAAGATCAACCAAGAAAAAAAAAAATCCATCATTTAGGAAACCTGGCACAGGCACAGCAGCAGCTGCAAGTCCACCACCAGGATGGTTACTAAAGCACTGTCAACAAGACCCAACAATGTTGAAGTGAACATCTAAACAACCTGTTTGCATGGGAGAGCTGTTGTAATTTTATGTATCCATGATCAGCTACAGCTTCTCCTTTTTAAACTGAACAGAAATTAACACATTTGGTACTGTAAAACTTTAAAATATTTGAGACACACATTCCCCTCCTCCCCCACGAGGTTTCTTCATTTCCCCAGAAGCAGCAACAAAATGCAAGACATTGCTTCTACTACACGATACTACGATCAGTTATAAAAATGTTGAGCAATGCCTCCCAAAAAACACACCCAAGGCACTGCCATCTTCCTGGAGAAGTGCACAGATTTCATTAAGCTTGTAGAAGTTATTATTCTATTAATATGAAATTAGTCAAGATAAAGAATAAAACTTACTTACAATAGGACATTAGCATATGATTCATGAACAGAGAAGGAAGCCAAGAACAAAACTGAGCAATTAAGAGTTACTTACCTCTTCATTCACAATTTCATGTAAATCAGGAATGCTCAAGTCAGCTTTCACAAATGGGATCTTATCCACTTCTTCAGGAAAGGGGCGGTGCTTCACACTGTATTTCAATCCAACATCATTTTTAGGAGCTGGTCGAGGTTCTGGTACAAAAGTCTGACAAAAAAGGGGGATGGTTTTAATAGTCAAGGCACCATGCCACTAGACAATACTTCATTATAACAGATGGAAAATGTTCCCTTCCCCCTCACCACCAGAAGTACACTAATCCATTAATGAGAGGAATCATTAGAAAACATTCAGTAAGTACTTTAAGCTACTAGATTTGTATCAAAAACATGGCTGCAAGTATTAAGATACAGTTCTGCCCATTTTGGTGGCTGCACACCTGGAACCTATAAACCTCTAAGCAGTTGCAAGTTCCATAAAAATGGCAAGTTTACATGGCAGCACTTTATTTTCAGCCCATTGTAACTGTATGAGCAAAAGCTACCAACTGTGTAAGAAGAAATCGTTTTACCCCTGCTGACTACGACCACAAGTCAAGCTGAGAAGTCCTGAAGAGAACGGCAGCAATGCTGCAGGGCAGGAGTGAGATGCGCTGCCCGAATATCAGAAGGGCTTGTGTAATGTTCAAATGGCAAAATCGTTGCTACATTACCTTCTAAACTGTTCCCGTGCAATTCAAAACTTGCAGCTACCAATGAAAGCAGCAGCAGATCTAGGTGCAGGTCTGCAGGTACATGAGGTCTGAGCAAGCAAGACCTTTAATTACATCAAGTGCTGCTTCATAGATTTATTTACTACCAATTACACTTCAAAAGGGCAAAACTTTTAACATTGAAGTCAGAGAATGCCTTTAGGTTGGAAAAGTTTCCTTAAAGCTGGTAAGGAAGTCAACAGCCAGGACAGAACTTCTCCTTTGGTGTGGGAGGTAGCACACTTGGATGACACTGTTTAGCAGGAAATTTGTGGACTTCTCAGCTTCAGGGACAGCACAGCCCCCAAGGCATCACCCAGAGGGTCTTCCCCAAGGCTGCTCTGCAGAGACCAAATTCATCCAAATGTCAACATGGCAGCTGAGACTGACAGGCCCTCATTTCAGCTCCATTGTTATTTCTTTTTACTTACTGAGGGGCATATGAAGAGTTGGAAGATTTGGAGAAGTTCACAGACAGAAATTTTGATAACAGAAGGACTTGGTCCACTAGGAGCCGCAGCAAGAGGTTTTACTGTAACGTGAGATTGGGGTATTTCTCCTCCACTGTTCCTCTCCAGAGCTGCTTCAGTGTTGATCTAGATTTTTTTTTTTTCCCCACAACAGGTTTACAGCCATCTTTGCAACATTAGGCTTTACAGCCTGAACAGCTGTTCTCTCATTCTACACCTCCAGACTTTGCTCCCTCTGCTGCAAGGGCTTTGTTTGATATCCTAAAATCAGCACCCTCACTCATGGCTACACACTGTCTATTGTCCCATCACCTCAGAAGATGCTTTCAGGAAAGAAAAAAAAAAAAAAGAAAAGGAGACTGCCCCCTCCCCTTAAACAAGTCTAGAAGGCAACAGCACTTTCACAGCCTGTATTTAATATTAATCACAAGTCATAAAGAGTCACCAGAGATGTGTCACATTACCTACAGCTAAAGGCCCCGTGGCTCAGCCTTAATGTATAATCACCAGCTCTGTGGGGCTGTCTCACATTAGTGGAATTTCTGCTGAACATCTCTAAGTTAAAGATTTCTTTATGGGCTTTGATAGAGACCTTTTGATTTGCTTTAGCTCCTCTTGGTAAAAGACAGAGTTGCTGGGCCCATGCAAATCTTCCAGATGTCCCACGGATCAAAACCGTGACAGATGGGAAAGAGACATCTGCAAAGCACATGGGTGAAGAGAATAACACATCATCATATACCAAAAACAGTTCACTGTGCAATAATTTAACCAGAAAGAAATGCATGCATGATGACAGAGATTTTGTTTTCAAGATTAACTCCTCCCTGACCCTGAAGCCAATTCCTGGTGAGGAGCAAGCAATCCTCCTCTCTGCAGCAGGGCTAGTCTACTTTGTGGTCTGTTCAGGAATTGGCAGCTCAGTTTCACCGTGAAAAGTAACTTTCATCCAAATTCACACAGATGAGTTTCTCTCCAAATTATCTCCAGGAAATGAAAAAGTTTGTCCAGCCACTGCCTGTTCAGGTAAGACAAATGACCATACATATGGAGACACAGTTTCCATACTTCCATGGCCTTCTGTAAAGGTCCCACACAAACACCAGCAATAAGAACAATGGAAGGACAAGAGATAATGGTCAAACCAAGACAGAGGAAGATTCTGACTTCACATCATGGAAAACTTTTCACCACAAGGAATAGGGACACAGAATTGTCCTCAGAGGTTTTCAAGACCTACTTGGACAATGTCTGGTTCCATTGTCCTGGCCTGAATTGAGCACTGCTCAATCACACCTCTGCAGAACAGGTAAGCCCCTGAAACGTGAGAGACTTGATGAAGCGCCTTTGTTTTGCAGCTCCATACAGAGAGTTTTACCCAGAGGAAGAAGGAAATGGGAAGCATGAACTTACTCTGTTCATTCCCTAGAGGCTGCTCCAACATCGCCAGGATGACACTATTATCCAAAACAAAGTAACGGAAGCTATGCTTGTTTATGGTAGGTAGACGAGAATATTTAATTAATGTGTTTTCATTCACCAAGCTACAAGGAGAAGCAGGGCCACTGGGAGAAGGAAATGCTCCAAGTAACTGCATAATGCTGCAAGTGAAAAAAAGTTACGAGTCATAACACATTGCCTTCTTAAGGCAAACCGTTCCACCCACGCACAGACCTTCTCTCCTATTCTTCATTCGTGTCTTGACACAGCAGTTACCCTATCAGGGCAAGCTTGCCCTCTCTCATCAGCTTTTTTAAAACAGAACCAGTAACTTCAGAAAAAGCATACATGAAAACCTACAGAGACTCTGCCTACAAAATGAGTTTTGTTATAACCTGGGTTATAAAGATATTAGGATATGCTTTAAAGCACAAAAACATGTACCCTTCCACAGCTTTTTTTTTTTTAATGTTCAGGTTTATGGATGACTGGAGATAATCATCCATATTTTAGCCCACTCTTCTATCAACAAGCAAGGCAGACTCATGGTAGATGCACTAGTTCTGAGTGTCTTTGCTTTCTTCAAGTACAGATTACATTAACTTCAAACCACTTAAGACAGACACAGGATCACACAAGCATGACCACCATAGACTGTGACCTTCCCTGGGAGAAAGCCTCCAGGTATGGTTCAACAGTGCCTGCCTCCTTGCAACCACAGCCTTGAGACTCTCCTAGAGGTACCGACTGAAATCATCTGCAGTTGTACAGGGTCTGCCTAATGCTACTAGAAACTGAAAATTTCTATGGCAGGAACCAGTAATGAAAGTTGTCCAGTGTCAGACTGAAGATCACATGATTTAACTCAGGACTTCACTCTTAACACCACCACCCAGACCAAAAGTTTATCAATGTCCTCTCCACACTCTTTTCCACTTTAATCTGAGAATGGATAGATTCATCTCTCTGTTTAGGAAAAAAGGGGCACTTTTAGCCAACAGTAAAGGTCTGTCTAAAAGTTCTAATGACTACTTGTTATTACCTTGGAAATTACACAGTTTTTGCTAACACCAAAGACTGTAACAATTTTATTGCAAAGCAGAACAAAAAAAAAAAGCAAGCAACTATTGCCTTCTGCAAAATATATTTATCCTACCCATCCTCAATCTGTTCTGTCTACCATCAGGCTGTTCATCCAGTAAAACAGTGTTATTCAGCTTCTCTGGAGCAAACCTCAATCTTACACCCTGCGAACACATTATCTGTAACTGTTTCCAGCAGAACCTCTCAATTACAGTAAGCAAGCCCATTACTGTGGGCAAACGAAACCCTAGCAGCGTTTGCCTGCCGCACCACCCGTGAGACAGTATCTATCAGTTTCCCAATCAGAGTGGGGATGGCGTAACTTTTCAGGCTGAGGAAAAGGAGGAATGGAAAGAGGACCACTACGTCACGTAGGAGATACAGGGAACTGCTGTCTGCAGAGGACTGCAGAAAGAACACCATGGGCTGCAGAAGGGCTTGGGTTTTGCTCTCCAAGGAAGAGAACAGGCAGGAGGGGAAGCC